AAAAAAAACAGATTTCTTGAGAACGTTCGTTTGGTGTCTACCATTCTGGAAAGAAATACTGCTCCTTGATACATTTGACTTTTACAGAGAAAGAGACATATACAGGAATGATCATGTTTAACTGCCTGTTAACTTGAAGTCGTCTTTCATTGTATTCAATTTATGCTCAATCCTATTTTATGCATAATTGTTAATTATGCTATTAATAAGTTGTTTACTTGTAAAATACCCTTTTAGTATTTTACCTGCATTTTTTGTTATCTTCATATGTTGAAGCATCAACACAAAATTCATTCCATTTTCAATATAATTTCCAATGAATATAGCTCATACTCTAATAATATCTCTCTCTCTCCTTGTTCGACAATGAATCATTTTTATCACATATGAGACTTAATAGAAGTGGATAAATGGGTGACCGGACAATTCGTCGCAAGACAATTCGTTGCAACAACATAATTAAATTACAGCGTGTATATATTCTTGCATCCATTAAGAAATTCATTAAATTCAATATGAAGAAAAAAGAATTGAACAACTAGTAAAAATATTCAAGGAAATGGTATCAATATGATTTTGGATTTTCCCATTGACATCGCTTGATTATTTTTACGAAGTGGAAAAATAGCCTTGACGTTAGATCGGTTGTAGTGTCATATACAAACGATAATAGATCAAAGCAATGCACTGAAATTTGATACGTATCAAGACTGTATAAACGTAGTTCAAGGATAGGAATAATAAGGATTGTTTACTGAAGATTCTCAGTTATAGCAACTAATCAATCTCTCCTCGAAAACCTCTAGATTTTCACTAAAATCTGTGGCCCGAGAGACAGTAAATTGTTATTATCTACATTTCAAATAAAATCAGCTAGTTTTCATTAATGTTTCATTAATGACTAGATAAATGAATTCGGAATCTTGAAATTAATAGTTACATTTGAACAATTTTAATGGTTGCTTCGAACTGAGCTTCGATCTGGTTTTTAATATTAAGATAGTTGAACATCGAAGTCACACGAAAAATGGAAACCATACTGATAGTAGTTCCTTGAATACTTTTACTAGTTGTTCAATTCTTTTTTCTTCATATTTTTCATTTAATGAATTTCTTAAGGAATGGAAGAATACATACACGTTGTAATTTAATTATGTTGTTGCAACGAATTGTCTTGCGACGAATTCACCTAGCACCGGATAAACGATTTCATAAGAATAATGAAAAATACAAGAAAATATTAAAAATAATTTCGAGGAACTATAGCTAAAAGATAAGTGACAATATAGTTTATTTCAACAGGAATCAAACCAAATTTGCAAGTATATAAAATCAATCATATTAGAAAGTAGATATGCATAAGAGAATATTAGCTGAAGGAAATGTAGAAAACTCATTAAAACGTATAGGAATTGATTCATTTCTTTTTAAGTTCATTCTAAATAATCTATCTATTTTGAATTTGAATTTTGAATGATGATGATCAAAAATGACTATGTATGAGCACAGTTCTCTTCGTTTCAATTCATGTCTTACTATTAAATGGGAAAAAAAACGAATCGAATTCCTTTAACATGAAATAAAGCCCAGAAAATACTATGTAAGAGGACATATAATTCACACTTCAGTCATTCTAATCTGCTTCATTTATTATACAAAAGATCCACATGAGCTTATAAGAATATTAACAGTTGCAAGATTAGAATCAAATGGATTGTGGATATTAGATAGAGGCTTCATCTAATAACATCTTAATCTAATAAAATATCATTTTTCTACTCAGTTTTTAATCCTGACTTAGAGTATCACATTTTCATAAGGTTCCTCTACAAAATGTAATCTATATTAGGTAGGTTCATGAGAAAAAAGGAAACCCTATTTATTGCTGTTATATTTTAATTTTCTTCTATTAGTGTTCTTTTTTCAGCGAAACAATGATTGAATTGAAATAAAAAGCTATACCTTTATGATCAACTTGTCAATTTCTATCACAAATGTTGCACTTCACACAGCTGATATGCACGTAGCAATTAATGGTAAGTTCATATAGCTAATATTGGATAGATAATGAAAAACATAGTATATTATTTTGTTTTGTTTTTCCATAAAATATATGAAATAATGAATTTTAATCATTTAACTGCTCTCTTCTAAAGAATTGCCATGCATCATTATGCGCTATTGAAACTATTAATAATACATTTGTTAGAATATTATCTTGAAATTTAAGAACTTATCATTTTTCTAAAGGAAATATAGAGGGAAAAGTCCTTTTAAAATAATGGACTACTTGTCGTCGACTCAAACTACATCCAATAATTTTGTTATCTGCGATGCATCATTTAGCACTTAATCCAGCGAATATATCAAAGCGTGTAGCATAGGCATCATGTTTGAAATACTGAATGCATTTTATAGAAATGATGTATTCAATTATATGGCAATGCGATCTATTTCATGTATTCTAACGTTTGAATTTTCATAATGTACTAAAAATGCACTACGATACTCGTGAATTCCAACAAATCGATAAAAGAAAATGTTTTGTAATATGTGATATAGACTGTGCTTTCACCTAACTGTATTCCATGCGTTTTTGTTAGCAAAATATATATTTCAATGTTAATTATTTCGAAAAATCGGCTAAATCCGAGATTTATATACGACATTTTATTTAAAGATTAAATATGACAGATGCATTGACAAATAAGACTCAAACGTATAATTACATATTAATTGCGCACATGTCAAACCACGAGAGCGTCAAGTTGCATGGATTTGGTTATTAAGACGGCACAATGCTACTTGGATAATTAATTGAATAAAATCTTTCCGGAAAGTACGCGCAGAAATAATGTACAAAAAGAATGGAGTTGCATAAGTAATTTGAAATATAACTCGGCACATGACAAAAATTGAGTAAAAATCCGCCGTTGGTGTGTAAATGATGGGAAGATATAAAAGAAGACTAACTACACATTGCGGTAGAATAAGTAATACTTGAGCGCCTACTTGAACAAGCAACATTTGAACAAGTTGATTTTCAATTCGACGAGCAGTTCGAGATCCTGAAGTCACCATACGGCTTCGTTTTATGTTACGTATAGTCATACAACCGAACAGTGACATGAGAAAAGGTGCAAGACAAGAGAAAAGAATAAATTGAAAGATACCATATGCCTGAACAAAACCTGGACTACCTTGAATCCGACAGCCAACTATGTCGCTATTATATAGGTCAGCTGATATAAAAGATATGATAAATAATATTGAAAACGATATTGTAATTATAAAAATCAACTGTTTAGCAGTACGAACATTAGTGAAGACGCGTCGTTCTAAACTCATCCACCATCGATCGATAGAAGCCAATACGAGAAAAGCAGCTGATAATATTGATAGAACCGTTCCAAAATAAGTAACAAGTTTGCATGAGAGTGACGATCGAATACTTATTCTTATTTGATATCCATCGCCTAATAGACTAACTACGAGCACAGTAGTCGAATATAGTAAGTTATTTAAAGAAAGTGCAATAAAATAAAGAGTGCATGCATGTTTTCGCATATTGTACCGACCAAGTAGAATGATGCTTAACGTGTTGCCTATTACACTGATAAAGACAATCAGAGGAAGTCCAACTTTAGAAAAATACATATTAATTTGTCCCAATAAATTAGTCATGTTCTTTGCAATATGATGAGTGCGTGTATAAAATTTTTACTTGAACTCAACACGTCGCCATGATAAAAGATATTGTTGTTCCGTATTTTCCGTTCTATTAATATTGCTTATCATAAAGTCATAGTATCTGTGATCACTAATAAGGTATATTTTAAGATGATCTCAAATTTAGTCTAAGCAGAGAAAGATAAGCCGGTGTGTAAACGAAACTATGAGAGAAAATATACGTCGTGTATGCGCTGAACAGAAGCAAATAGGAGATCTATTAAACGTTTAAGAGATTCTTAACAGAAGACAAATTATTAGATAGCTATGCTTGAAACAAAACTTACTAGTTTGCTTTCCTGAAAGAAAAGAATGAAAAAAAAACGTATATATATTCTCCAAGAATCGCACTCAAGACAAATGTTTCACTGAATCGAATTGCTGATTTCTCGCGATGTCATCACTCACTCCATCACTGCTTGAAGATAGTCTCACAAAATCAATAATATTTCGAAATAATTAAAATATTATATATGAATATCCCTTTGAAAGAACTGAACGCATAGAAAAATAATAACTGCTTGTTGAACATTCTAGATAAGCCCTACATATTATGTTAGTACAGTAAAAAAAACATTACGAAAGTTCAACATCCCCCAAATCAATGAAATTATTTCTTCTTGTAAATTGTTGACAAAAATTTCTAATTTTATTGATATTTCATAATAGAAAATCTTATCAATTTTGAAATCTTTATGAACTGATGTTAAAGTAGAATCTCTACTGGTGAATATGTATTTAAAGTGCACGACTAATTTTGAATAATTTCAAATCCAACAAAGCGATTTTTCTCGAACTAGATATAAAACCTATTTTCTGGTCAACATGAAAAAATCTTATGGTATTTGTTTTATGGGAAATTCAAAGTCAAACGCTTTTTTAATAAGTCGGGGTATATGAAAGTGTGCAGCAAATAACTTTCGTAAATAATGAATGGGCAAAAGTGTAGGATAATGTTTTTTAAGTTGGCTAAAAAAACGTCTGCTTAGTAAAACAACTTTATAAGTCTAAGACATATTTATGCTCCTTTCTTCATGATATAATTTAAGACAAGCGAAAAGGTGAAGGTCAAAAATATCCTGTAAAAAGCGTATCACGTTAAATACTTGATTTTCCCACATAAATATTTTTAAATGTATCTTAAAAACGCAGTGCCATTTGATTTGACAACGTCTAACCGGTAAAATTTGTTTTTCTAAGTAAGATGCCTATCAACAGCATCCCCTCTAAATCTGTAATATGCCCTTTATAACACGAAATAAAACGATGTTTTTCCTGATCTCATCTAAATTCTCATTTGATGTGCAACATACATATTTCGATATGTGTAATATTGTTGTTGTTATTGCTTCTGTCGTAATTATAATGCATTGATACTAATTGATTTTTAATTAGACCGAGTTGTTCGATAGATTTTAGACACTTTTTTTGGTAATGCTCTTATAGCAATAGCTTGAACAAAATTGAAGTTAACTAATTTCATATTTTATGAAACTTATTAGGATTTTCACATTAAATATTTTAAAGAAAAGGCTTTTTCAATTCGGTTCCCGATCTAGTGACCGAATAGTAACACGCGCAAAAACTCAAATTCAGAAACATACGACGAAATTTTTATTCATTTTTATAAAGGTAACTTTTGAGAGACAATCTATAGAAAAAAAAAGATCATTCTGTCATCGACTTCTACATATGAGCAATAAGCATGAGCCTAATGGGTGTCTTCCATTTCAAACACCACTATATAAGAATTCTGTAACAGTTTACATGTCATCAAAGGACTTAAAAATAGGAAAAACAACTTTTTTTTATCATAAAAATATTAGTAAGACACCTTGTATTATCTTTTAATAGATTAGCAGTGACCTGGCTTTTTTTCGATTACTTTCGATCATCTTTGTATTGTTTCGAAAAACCAGTCATATTTTATTTCATTAAAACGATCATATGTATTTTTCTACATAAGGACACATGAATTGACTAAAAAATAGATTAACAATTAAATTCTTCGTTTTGTTGTCTTTCATTTATACATAAAGGCTATCGGATGACGATGATGAAGTATTAAGATTTGCTTTTCTACGATGTTCAACAAGTGCATATAATTGTTCGAAACGTTTTAAACTATCTTGATAAACTTGTTGTGGTGAATGTACTGAGCTAATAGATAGTGGTCGTATTGTTACTTGCTGTACATGATCAGATGAAACGTCAGATGAACCATATACACCTTCATCTCGATCGGTAACAGTTTCTCGACTATTTAATTGTGTTAAATATCTTTCAACCTAAAATAAGCGTCGAAAGGAAAACTTCTTTCGTTTTATTTCTGAGAAAAAAAATTTAAATTACCTTTTCTGAATAACCAAAATCTGTTTGATGATTACCGCTAGTATTGATTACTTTCATATCTGATGCTCGTTTAATTCCATATTGATAGATACGATTGGATGAATTCTAAAACAACAAAGAAGTTTAATCGCATTGAAAAAAGTGACGAGATTAATGTAGCATAGAATCATTAATCTATTTACAAACATACGCATCATCAATGCAAAAGAAGCAAGGTGAAATAATCGTTTTCTTTAACAAAAGAAAATCGTTCGTAGGTGTCAATAAATGTTTAATCAGAACAATTTGAATTCGATGATTTATAATCAAAATATTATCATTTTGTTCAAAATATCGATGTAATTGAATCGATATTCATGTTGTTGTTGTTGTTGTTGTTGTTGTTGTCTTTTCTTTCTACTCAATAATACAACAACTGATTTCATTGACATTTTGATCATGAGAGAGAGAAGTAACTTCCTATGATTTTCCCAAATGATAATAATCACATCAGTTTGTCTATTTGTTTCAAGATATCGAATATGTATTACTCAATATTTGTATAAGACAAACATATAAATGTACAAAGAATACATTCATGTTCGAATTCGGTATGATTTAAAAGAGAAATCGGATATGAAAGTTAGACAATATACATCACATCTAAAAACGTGCCCTTCGTGTTGTTGTCTATCGCTTTCAAAAAGATAATCGTATCGAATAGAATTAGGGCTCGGTGGCCTTTCTTTCTGTAAAAGTTATTTTAAGGCAAAAATATAGATCAAAATTGTGTGACTTTCCGATGAGTAGAAAGTTAAATAACTTACTGTTGCTTCTTCGAACACTTCAATCGTTGTTTTTTGCGATGAGCCAGCTCGTTCATTTGAACTGTTAGTACTTTCACTGGAAGAATTTCGTATTGAATTTCTTTCTAATTTTGAATTTTTCGTTCGTAATAAGCAAGCAATTAAAAAACATAGAGATATTAAAATAGCAGCAAGGAATACAATAATAAAAAATATTAATAGTAATATTAGACTTGTATTTTTCATACTGAAATTTTCCATTTCTATTGTATCATCGATCGATTGTATATTAATTGGTATTGTTATTGTATTTGTTAGATTTCCATTATCATAAACTGTTACATTAATGGTGAACAATCCTGTTATAAGTGGCATTGAACAAAGAATCAGTGTGCCATTATGTGTTAAAGTTAAATTAAGCGATGGTAAAACATTAAATGAATATCTGAATAGATTTGATTGAAATCGATCACGATCTCGAATAATAAATTGAGTTATAATAAACGGAGTGTCAGTTGTTTCATAATGTATTAATAAAGATTTATTGGATCTTAATGGAAAAATAATCTCAGGTGGATTATCATTGCAATCATCGATTTCTATATTAAATAGAATCGAAGTTGAGAATGGTGGTAAGCCAAAATCAGTACATTGTAAATGAACTGCTACTGATTGTTCCAGTTCGTAATCAAATAAAGGAGAACCGCTGATTTGTAATGAATATGCATTTGTTGTTAAAACAATTAAACTTAAACGAGTATCATTTAATGTACAATGAACACGACTATTATCACCGGAATCTTTATCCGTGACATGGATGTATAATATTGGTACATCTATAATAATAAAAATGAATTAAGCCCGTTTTCAAGTTCATCATTCTGAGAATTCATTCTCAGCGTGCTGTTGATTAGCTGAAGATCATAAAATGCGCCTGCTGCGATGGCCTAGCATTGTACTCATGCTTTTTCTTATTCTCGTCAATTTTGATTATAAATATGAATCATTCTTTCAAAGAACTAATACCTATCGGATATAGGATTCCCACTAGAGACGTACTGCGAAAATAAATCAAAGATCAAGCCTCCTGTTGATTCTGAAAGATATATCACTTTGATTCCTAACGACATCTTTTCTGATAAAAAAAATTTTTTTTTTTAAAATCTGTTCATCTCCGCAAATAGACTATGTGTGATATACTGCCTTCATAGCTATATTTCTTCTTTTTGTGCATCATCTTTACACCATTCGGCTTCGTCGTTCAAGAAGAAAAATTTTCTTTTGTATCTTTTACCTTTTGATTTACATTCCGGTAGATTGATTTGATGATGATCCATTAATGTTCCATTAACTTCTGTCAATAAAACATTTGGCACATGATCATTGACATCTGTTACATCAATAATGAACGTTACATAATTGTTGAGTTGTGGTATCCCATGATCATGAGCTAAATACATTGAAAATTTTATAAAAAAAACAGCACAAAACATAAAATGAATTAATTGTTAAACCTTTAATTGTTATTGAATATGAACGTTGTTTTTCATAATCTAACGATTTTTTTAAATAAATCTCTCCTGTTCGTTCATCAATATGACATATGGCTGATTGATCATCAATTGAATAACTGATACGAGCATTTTCACCTTCGTCGAGATCACTTGCGTAAATTTTGAAAATCCTTGATTCAACTTGTTGATTTTCTGGAAGTGATTTTCGATAAATTATTTGATCAAATATCGGTACATTATCATTCACACTAGAAAAAAATTAATACTTAACAAAAAAAAAAGAAAAACGAAAAATTTTTACTCTGAAACAATAATTTCAATATTTTGTTCTCCGGATAGTGATGGTTGTCCTCCGTCGTATGCAATTAATTTTAATAGATAATGTGATTTTATTTCACGATCTAAAGTTCCATTGAGCTTAAGAACTGGTTTCGATCGTTTTATTAGAATAAAAGGATTATTATTCTTGGGTTGTAATTCATAGTTTTGTATTGATAATAGACCATAATCATTATCAATAGCTGGTTCAAGTGGAATCTCATAATCAATTGGAATATTTTCTGCTATAGGAAATTGAATAAATGTTTTTTTAAATGTTGGTGAATGATCATTGATATCTACGGAAGAAGAAAGAGGATTCGTTAGAGAAAACACGATTTCGTTTCTCTTTTACCTTTAATAATAATTTGAATAGTTTTTACAGAAACATTATGAGGCGAAAAAGTTTGTAAAAAATTCAACTTTATTAAACATTCTGAACATTGGCAAATTTGTTTTTCACAAAATTCTTCTCGATTAATGATTTCATTTGTCGTAAATAACGATTGATTTTGATTTAAATAAAAATATTTTTGAAATATAGACGATGATGGTAACCATTTAAGATCATCTGATGATGAAATCGAAGAAGATACTAATGTACTTGGTGGAAGTTCTTCATGAATATAAATTCGTGATGTATTATTATGATAGTCATAGGCTGATATCGAAATAATTAATACGAAGTAAACAAGAATCATTTTCTATCTGAAATAAATATTCATGATTTAATTTGTTTATGAATACACAAAATAACAATACATCGTATCAATGTAAGTCAATTAAGGTTTATATATCATACCTCGATAGTAAATTGGATTTGTTTTGTGGTCTATTGAATTCAAGAGAATACGAACACTGGTCACAACTGTATATTCGCTTTTCTTTTTCTTTCAGTAATCGACAAGCTGGTTCCCCCTCCTTTCGCTCTCTATGTTCAATCGAAAGGAAAAGAAAAGAAAAATGAACTTTCTCTTTTTTCTCTGTCGTTTTCTTTGCTCATTAGATTAATCACTTTTTCTATTCACCATTGTAAATATGGTACCGTATATAAACCAATCGTGAATATAATTGATTTTTTTAGATGATACTGTGAATAACAGGTGCATGTGTATTAACCTTTCTAGTTATCTATTCCGTTTTAGAGCGAAAACAAGCGGTTCAACATTCGAGATCAATGTCATCGATACACATGACATCATAAACTTTCTCTTTCGATTGATCGAGACAGAAGATGACTATCGTTTGATGATCGGCATTCACACATATACTTGAAAAACAAAAATCTATAGCTATTTAGTGGACTATTGGGAGTAACAAAATAAAGCAGTTATTGACACTTTAACGATATTCTATTTTGTCAATGAAATTATTTAAATCACCAATGGAACATATTGTTTCGAGTGAACGAGAGAGAGAGAGAAAAAACAGTCAAGAAATAAATGAACATCTTGTTTTGTTGGCGATGACCATAATTTGACATTGACATGCAAGCTATAAAACTTAACTTTTTTTCTAGATCACCACTAAACGCGTGTTTTAGTGTCTATGTCATATAAGATATTCATGTCACTTGACATATCGGTATACAAATAGAAAACAAAAGATTTGATTCCATTCATTTGTCAAGTATAATTTACATTTTGGTGTTGATGTATAACCTCTTAGAAGGGTACCATCTATATATACGTGCTGCATGTCGACAGTCGATGTCTGTCTACTGAAATTCAAAGTTTGTGTGCGTTTGACTCATTAGAACAGTCGCGAGAATGAACAATAGGATCAAAAGCAAGACGCGATTGCTGTCTTACACCAATATGCATAAGAGACTAACGGTCGTAACTCACTTGACGAATAGTCCTAAGTCATTTTTTTTCAATTTATTTTAACAATACTAAATCACTTATTATTTTCAATTTCGATAAATTGTGTCTTATACAACAATACGAAATAAATCACTTGAGACAATGCACATTGATAGTTATTATCAGCTATGTCGTAAATGATTTCATTTCGTTTTTTTGCTGTTGTTTCATCCGATTAACAACACTTTTGAAGTTTCATTTGATTACAGATGTATAACTAATGTTTTTTAGTTTTCCGTCGAAAATTACTTCCGTGTTTGCTTCTATACATAATCATAGATCAAATTACTATTCATCATTTTCTACTTGACATATATGCGTTTTCATGTCAATACGTATCTGATATGTGTATATGTCAAGAGTAAAGGATTAGAGTTCATCAACAGCTTTTTATTTATCTAAGAGAACAATACAAAAACGGAAATAATACATAAACAATAGCTGTGATATACATAGTGAATAAATGTTTGTAGAGAATAAATTTACTAGATTTAATGAATGTAACTGATTTTTTTTTCTTTCTTTTTGTGTAGAACTCGAACATTGAGCCTATTTTGCTTGATTATTAGAGGATAATTACTTTATGAAATAAGCGTCTATCATAATTGTTATGAACATTTTAGAAGCATTGATGTTAGAAAAGTAAATAAATTTATTCTTTCTCTTTGACTATTATAGAAATCATTTTCAAGTGTTCGAATAGAAGTATCAGGTAAGAAATCATCTCATGCTCAAAGGTTGCAGAAGAGCAGTAAAATGTAGACGAAATCAGATATTTTCATTGTGAAAACTCAACACTTTTGGTTATGGGGGAGTTTATATCTCTTTCCCCCGCTTTCGTATCCCCATCTTAATTCATTCGTTCGATTGTTTTGTTCAAATAAATGATGGTTAGACGACAGAAAAAGAGCAAAGCAATAAAACACACCCGAAGAATTGACTCTTCAACGTCATCAACTTTCTTCTTTATGAATCGTTCAGTGATAAAATCAAGAGCGCTATACTAACTAGGAGATATTCTCTTTACAACATTGAATACTGTTCTAATTACCCTAAGAACTAGATAATATTTGGAATGAATGTAAGTTATTGAGATTTATATTTCACCGGAAGTTTTATTCGTATAGATTTCATTCACTTTAAAAAAATATTATATAAAAATCGAGATTATTTAAATGATTGAATGTTTTTCAGATAATTTTACCACCGTTAATGTTGACGAATGTATTTATTTAACTCCTCTTTCGCATCACTAAATATAAGTGCACCACTGACGACACTTGGATAAGAACCTTGATCGTATGCATATCGATAGGCTGTTTTTGCCACTGCAAGTTTCCCATCATCAAAAGGAATTCATTTCATCAATTGTACAACTTGAGATGATGATATGATCCGATTAGAACGTATCGTAGTTTCGATCAAATCAACTTTGTCGTCTTCAAAAGCAGTTTTCTTCACCGCTTCTAACAGATGGTTGAAATTTGTTGAATTCACTACGAATATAATTTTTATTTAATTAATATTTTTTAAAGGATTTAATAGAGTTGTTAAAAATACGTTAGTAATATGATTCTTTTTATTTTCATATGAATGCCTGTCTGTAAGTGAAAGATTTTCATCAATTTTATAACATTCAGAAATGTGGGCACTAAAAACTATCATGTCATATACCAATAAGACAAATTCTTATCAGATTAATCTTCTTACTTTTGATAATAATGCTTGCTTAGTCAGATTGAATAGGAATGATGTAGTGTTGTAGTGAGTTGTGTATGAATCTGTAGGAATCGCCTCAACTTTTATGGTCGAATTGCTCCGCTATGACAAGGCAAATTTTGGAGGTACAAAGAAAAAAATATCGATGACAGTGGTGACAAAAATGAGTAAGAACTGCTAAATGCGAATAGTATTACTCTCAATACCTATGTTGGGAATATTTGTTGCTATGACCGAGCAAAATAATATGGAAATTTTGTCACAACTAGTATAGATTATTCATTCGAATTTAAATGCATATATAAAATTTCAATATAAATAATTGCTCAATAAAATCCTTGAAAAGAAATTTGAGAACTAGCTTCATTTTTATATAGATATGTACTCTATTTTTATAATATTCAAACTTATTCTAAGAATATATTTATTCGTAGGCAACAGAGACCGAAACGAATGGCAAAAATGCCATTCGATTCGATTCAGGCTTTCAGGACCTTGATTCGGATTCGACTTTTTTCGTTTTTCAAAACTGTAATTCGATTCGATTCGGCTTTTTTTCAAGTTTTTTTTATTCATTCGATTCGATTTCGGTCTCTGGTAGGCAATCATTTTTTTAATCAAAATTTTTCTTTTTGTTATCCGGAACTAAGCAAGGCATGATCTCCTATAGAATGGTCAGAATGGCTTTTGAAAACACTTAGAATTCTACAGAAAGTAAGATTTAATGAAAGCTGATTGGCCAGAAAATCTCCTAGGTCTTTGATCGGTTTTGCTGTTCAGTTGATAAGAGTACTTTCGAGCCGAAGTTTTATTTTTAAATATATGTACCCGGCGAGTTTAGAACTCAGTTGAGTTTGGAAAAGTGTTTTTTTAATTTTTCCCATAGAATTTTCTTTGTGGCATGGCTTAAGAAATTTCGCTTTCAGTAATTATTTGTTGAATTTTTTTACAAGGAGTTTTTATATCAGTCATCACTTTCGCTTCTTCACCTTTTGAGAGTGCTAAATCATTTGGCTAAATTAATAGTAACTATTTTTGAATGAATGTAATTGATTTTCGATCGTTTTCTGAAAAATAGTAATATTAAATCATTCATTAAATGTATCTTAGAACATCTGATTTCATCTTCTTTTGTTAAATATGAATTCTCTCTCTCTGTATTTTTATAAATGTCGTCGACATCGGAACCTTGAATTTATCTGATTTTTTCCTGGCATTATCTTATTAAATTGCAAGAGGATCTTTTTATCAATGTAACAATGAGTATTTGGAGTGATTTGTTAAATTTATATCGAAATGATAAGAAGTTTAAAAAAGTACTTAAAGAATTAAACAAATTTCATAATTGAAATATAAAAAAATATCTATGAATCATTCTCACAATATCTACAAATGATTAATACAGATAAGATTATTTATAGTATGACTCATTTGATTACAATTTGAATAAAATCAATACTCTCGGTTAGTTTTGTATTGATAATTCTATAAAAAAAAAGGAAGGTTATCATTTTTTTCAATAAATGATTTTTTTTGCGCGCATTCCAATCTCGACTGGTAATTCTTACGTCAACTGTGCCATATATATTCTATATTTACTAAAAACTTCTCAAAGTGTGAATCAGCACAAATGAAAACTTTCAGATATATCAAGCTGATGTTACATTTTTCTTGTTTTTCAAGATTATCCAAGGACACAAATCAGAAAATCAAATCAAATTAGATTTTTTTCCAACTCATCATGATCAGTCGAATACAGTCATAGATTCAAATGAAAATTAATTACGTTGTTGAAGATATCATCTCTTCAGTGATTTAAATAACACTTTCTGTGTTGGAAATCAAATTTCACAAATTAATAACAAGAAAAATATTGATTAAATAGTATATTTAATTTGAACGCAACCAGTTGAAAATATTTTCGAATCAGAATATTTAAATTTTTGTTCGATTGATTGCTGTCCAAATATACTAATACCTTTGCCAAGAGCAATTGGAATTATAGTCATTATAATTTCATCAATTAAACCGAAGCTCAGTAGCAGTTGATTTAGCTGAGCACCACCAACTAGCCATATATCTTTTCCTGGTTGTTTTTTTAAATGATTAATAAATTCATAAATATCATCGTTAACAAACTCTACGAATTCATTCGACTTTTGTTTTTCATGAGAAAATACATAATTCTTTTTATCTGGATACGGAAAAGGTACAGGAAAAGTCAACACTTGTTGATAAGTTTTATTTCCCATTAAAGTAACATCAATATTTTCATAAAATAATTTATAGTCATGATCATCATTAGCTCCGTCGTCAAATGTTGATAGCCAATCAATATTTCCATCTTCTCTTGCTATGAAACCATCTATACTAATAGCAGTGTAAAGTATCACTTTTCTCATTTTATTTAATTCCTATATATGTATATAAAACATATTTTATTGTTTTGCCGATCAAAATAAATATGGTCTTATTCTTTGACAAATAAATATATTCATTTATAATCGCTTGAGAAAAAAATGTTTTAGTATGAGTACGCTCTCATTTAAATGAAGATGTGCCGTGTTGAAAAAAAACTATCTATTCACATTTCGATTGATCAACGTTAGGCGAACTTCCTTTAGTATGAAACAACAACAAAAACGTCATCAGATAGATTGCTCAATAGTATAACTCTACACAGTTAATGCAAAGCAAAAAGATATAATATAATATTAACTGATTCTGTTCTTAAACTGATAACATAGCAAAAAAAAATCATTCGCCGGAACTCATTGAATGATGTAAACCAATTAAAAAAATAGCCATAGGCGGCGCACATTATAGAGAACGTGTGGTTGGGTGCGAAATCTGTCAGATACCTAAGAGGGCAGATGTGTAAACTTGCCGCATTGTAATTAACATGGCAGAGTACTGGTAATCATATGAACACTCTAGGATAGTGGTGTTGTGCTAGGTTAGGTTACAAAATGACCCATGTTCTCGAAATCACCGCAGTTTAGACGATTAATTTCGATTTTCACTCAACTGTTCACGATGGCTAATATTATGGGAAATCAGATTATATCATTCATCTGGTCGTCACACTATATTAGTAGCTCTATCTGTCTCCATGCTCAAGTTATTTCACTCTGTTATTCGTACTCTTTCTATATCCAGGTCGATCAATCCGATACCGAAACGACTGGTTCTGTGCTATTCGGGAGATTTCATGGAAGCAGCATTCCGGTGGCCAGATTTATCCGAATCCGCGCGAAATCGACAAGAATCTGCCAAAGCAGACAGCCGGATGCGGTTACCAGATTCCTGCGTTGAATTCTTGGCATTTCCGGCGGTTTCCTGCGGGTTTTCGTCGGAAATTCACAGAATACTGCTTCAGGAATCATCGTTCTGAGGTAGACTATTTTTGTTAGCTGTTGATTCCGCTCTTGTCACAGAATAAGAAATATAAAGAAAATGAGCATGAGGAGACCCTATGAGAAGCAGTCTGATATGTCATCTATCTCTTTCGTCAAAACCATATCGTTGTTTGATAAGTCTTGATTTTGTTGAGAAGATTGAAAAAAATTTTTTATGACATCGGTATTTATTTTCAGTTTTGAGAATAGAATAATAAAGCATGTTTCTTTTTAGAAAAATTTTATGTCAAAAAATACATGAAAAAGAAGTTTTCTTTTATTGCTCAATCATTCATGCCCCACCAAGTAGGTTTCGTCGTCATAGTCTATTGATTTAACACTCTCAGTTTCTTTGACTTTTAAGTAGAATGTTTGTCTTTTGTGTGACCACTTCATGTTCAATATACCATTCATCGATGACATCATAGATTAATTACTTTTATATAGTTGACACATCAGGACAAAGATTTCTGCAGCAGTACTCCGTGGATTTCTGGAGGAAAACCGTAGAAAATATCGCTTCCAGGGGGGGGGCGGATAAATCTCACCGTCGGGTCTGTTTACCGGATTACTGCTTTCATGTTTCGTCAAGTTCCGATGTTTACCTGCGAGAACCGATCCAGACTTCTTCACCTGGGTTATCATCTTTCAGAAATAGTCAAAATCGATACTGATTTGTACCAGAATCTTTTAAAGTTGATAAATGTATTGGTATGCCTTCATAAATGTTAACGTCGATGGTCTTTTTTTTTCTTATTAATGAGAATTTCTGGTGATTGTTTTGTTATTTTAATGTAGTGTTCAAATGTTAAAACTAGTGGATAAGTTAATGGTGGCAAATTAATTTGACGACCTTGTTCACATGAAATTGTATGGCGAATAGCTTCCATCGGGTATGGGTCTGAGAATTTCGTTTTCACCGGGTCCTGGTTCAGATGAAAAATGTATTACTTATTAGATCAGATCACAAGAAAAATTTTATACATATCACTGATTAAAAATGAAACAGATATAGTTGGTGGTTCAGTTCTCTAAGAGAAGAGACAATATGAGCACTTTAATGCATTCATTCCTTATTCTATCCGAAACTGTGCACTACTAGCGAGTCGCTAGGATTCAGAGTCCATTATAAATTTATTGTTAAAAAATCTTCATCAGATAATTGAACGAATATGTAAAATTGAGGGTGTCGATGTGCATAAATGAATTCGAGAAGAGATCAACTTATCGTTTAACGAAAAGACAAATGAATCTGCTAGTGTCAACTCTTGCTTTTCATCAACCGATCGAAGTCCAAAATCGAAATATAATTTTTGGTGTGGGTATTCAGTTCATATCTTAGCACCCAAGCTCACAGCCACAACCACATCCACACACCCACAAACACTCAAACCGTCAAAATAGTATTCTGGAAAATGAGAAGTTTTATGTTTCTTTCTTCTAACACTTGAACAGATGATGCGGATCTTGGTAAATGCACTGCTTTCTTCTAATCTTAGAAGGTCATACTTTCTTTTATCATATTTGTACTATTATTTCACTTCAGAATAATTCGTTTTGTTGTCGTCGGAATCAAGAATCTATGTCATATTTATTTATTAGAAACTAGCAGATGTTCGTTTACATCTCAATATGAATTCAATCAACTCTGCTGTTAGTTTCATAATACCTACAGTTTCTTATAGAGCCTGAAGTATTGATATTTAAAAGAATATGGATTGCTTTATTAATTGATTAAATGAGCGAGTATGGCAGAGAAGAGAACGCAGTGTTAACACCATGTCATCTTCAAAGATGACCACCTGCCATGTATCATAGGAGAATAGAGGGTTTTCTAACTTGTGTGCTTGATAAGTGTTAGACATAAGGTAGTTTGAAATACTTCGTATATCGATAGGGATCAACATTCAAGAGATGTAAAAGTGAATTTGTTGAATATTGAAGCTCGTCAAGAAAAAAATCTCAAGGGTATAACTCACTCGTACGTAGATGACTATGATCCATAGAAATATAGAATTTTCTTCGTGTTTTATGTATATAATTGGATTCTTCCGCTAGTAATGAACCACACATAGTAAAGCTCTCCGAATATCACTTATTTATTTTTTTGACTTTTGAGATCCACTGTTAGTGATCAATTTGAAAGGAAAATTTCTAAAATCTTTTTCAATAAATAATAGTGCCATAGTCAAAATTTTCAACAACTAAGTCTCATCTGATTGATACAGTTAACATTGTTTTTAGAATTTTGACCTCACCATAATTATTTACTGATTGAAATTTCAAAATTTTTTCATATTACAATTATTTTTAGAACTCTACGTGTCTGTGATTAGCTGCCAACGAAAGCACTCCATTACATCAACAGAATTTCCGAAGAATTTCCATGAATCTAACTCATTGTCATCTTATGAATGATAAATGATACTCAGAAACGTTGAATATTGACGAGCTTTCAATAAGTGCAAAAGGTTCACTTTTTTCTATTGATGTTTTCGGGATTATCAGCGTCTGAAAAAAGTTTGCATTCACCGTGTATCAAGCTACACGGAACGCATTTCATTGTCTGTGGAATATTTCACTCATGTTCAGTCAACTTAATCGCTTCTATCAATTGAAGTGATTCATAATGTTTGTTTGGAAAGGATTAACTAATTTTGTTACAATACCAGAATAGAGAAGTGAATTTAACTTTTTAATTTCGTCTTGAAATAGTTTTACCGTTATTGCGACGGTGGGTTCACTAGTGGAGACAGAATTCGACGGTAAAAGTGCGATCATTATGCCTGTCATCTGATTTTGTTGAACACTGAATGTACTGTTATAGTAAATTCGTATTTGTGATATGTTAAGCGCATTAGCTAAATCAGTAACTACTACACTTGATAAATATCTGTTATTTGTGTCATTTATCGAATTGAATTGTCTGTTGAGAACTAAATATATTGTTTGTGATGGGTTAGTATTCGGATAAACTGGATACATACAACCAGAAGTTAATTCATAGGGCCCAATATCGAAAAAAGACTGTGTTTTTAATGATAATTCTAAACCGGTAAAAGCTTTGACGCGGGCGTCAAGTATATCAAAGGTGATGGATATATCGGTATTGCGAATACCATAATTCGTATGATATTGAATATAATGAGTAGTTAGGCATGCATTTGTTGGAAATGAAAGATGAAAAGGTGCTATTTCTCTGGGATCCCAATCGAAGGTCGTTGTTGAAAGAGCAGAGAAAGGCGGATATCTCCATGCAGATTCAAATGCAATGTAACCTTCAGTGCCTAATGCAATTACAAACAAGCCGATACTAAACTCTATTGCGGGCCGAAAAGCAAGATCAACATCAAGATCTCCTTGAATATTTCCCTGGGTTGGATGCATATTCCGTGATAAACTATGCTCATACTGATAACTCGTATTACCAGGAGTGCTGACAAACGCCAAATTCGATTGCCACTGATAATTGATACCAGCAGTTAGGTTTCCGATTCCGTCAACTGTGATGTTCCATAATATTGACGGAGCAAAGAAAAATCCTAAGGTAATTGTAGTGAATCCAAGGGGAATCATAATTGATGGTCCAATAGGTATGGGTGTTATATCATACAGGCCCAGAATACCAAGTTGAAAATTGACCCGAAGAATAAAATCAAGATTCACTGAAACGCTTGAATTCATGCGCACTGCTATTTTGTCTAATGATGTGGAATTACCTGTGTGTAAGATATCCATTTCAACAAGGCTGTAATCAAAGGTAGCCCAACAGTTTGTGCAATTAACTTGCATTTCCAGGAGTAGTCTATTAGCGCAAATGTTGCAAAGGTATGCCAATGCAATGTTACGTGTAGGACACAAACTAGGACATGAAGAGAAATGAAGTGCTTTCGGTGCCAATGCTTGACCATGTTGTGCATCATAGTTCCATGACCCAACGGCGTGGGCTGAAATGGTAAACTTATTACTGTGCGCTGTACAACCCGTCGAGTACCAATGCTGACACCAATTAAACTCAAAATAATAACCAGCGAGAGATATTCCAGTAGCTGGCAACGTTCGTGAACACGAGCCGCTTGACTGAACGGTACATGTAAACGTATCGGTATCACTGTCGGGTAATAAATAATTATAATGCCGAAGTGTGATCGTGAGTACATTATTGATGCCTACAAAGTTGGCACTAGTCCACGTGAGTGTCACTGATTGGGATGGTGAGAACGAAGCACCAGCAAGTGGAAATGTTGGAATTACATGCGGCCGAGTTATTACAAAAAAATTATTTGTAGTCTTTATGCAGTTCAACGAGAACAACGAAGTGCAATCTAAACATTTTAGATATATATATATATAAGACAACTTCTATCAAAAAATCAGTGATTAACTTACAGTTAAACTCGAAGTAGTAATATTTATCATTAGCTGCATTATCTAACGTCGATTGAATCGTGTAGTTATACGAATTTGCAATAGCCAATACTGTAAAGGTAGCTAATGTAACATCTGGTATTATCGGGCGAGCTCTTTTGAAATATACAGTAACTTGTGATGCCGCTGGAAATTTTACACTTTGCCATGATAATGGAACTATATCACCAGGATAAAACACATTGTTAATAGCGGGTGTTGTTCCTGGAATGATTGATGGTTGTGTCGGAATATAGAATGTTGCGCTCGTGTTCTGATGAGATATCAATAAACTGGAAAAGCCAAATTGAAAGTAATACTGATCATACGGCGATGTTGCTAAATTAGCAGGGATAACGAAGGATGATTGGACAGTATTGATTTGAGTAGTTATGGTGCTTATTGAAGCATCTACTAGAAGCTGCTTTCTGTAAAGGGTGATTTTCAACTTAGTAGTATCATCAATATTCGAATAGGACCAACTCACAGTTACCGTTTGTCCCGGAAGAAACAGTTGACCTCCACTAGGGTTTAGCGGACGAAGACTCCACGAACAAAATATACATGTACTCCTGGGAGTAGGAACTTCTACCTGTCGTTTTGATGGTGAGTGTGACGACGGTGGCGGGGGTGACGTTATCATACTACCATGTTCTAATACTAAGTGCATCGAGATATTGGCGAAGCATAGAAATGGACTATTGCTAGCATGTTTGAAAGTTTCTATGAAAATATATTTATCTTTCAACCGAAAGTTTGAGATTCGTTCGAAAATTACTGCCGGTTGTTGTGTTGTTAAATTGAGACAACCCCATTCTGGACCACCATTGACATATTCAGCACCTGATATATTCCATTTGTTAAATATGAGGTTAGCATTGGCTTCCGAGTCAAATGTAAGTAGCAGAAGTTGTTGCCCTTCATATGCGCACTGAACCGATTCTAAGTTTCGGATAGAATCAAGAGCAATACACGCTGTTGGATGTAATCTAGCATCCGCGTTGAGTTTTAATTGGCGAAGATTACTAGCTATACCTTTTTCACGTACAACATCACTGTTACTTATATCTATTGTATACCGAATCACATCTGAATGTAGTGGAAGACCGACGATTGAGTGAGAAGCTTTCATTTTGTTTGCTGCTAAGCGCAAGGCCGAATCAAATGTAGGACGAGCAATGATCACCCGAAATGCGACGAAAATACATAAGAGAGAGACAGAGATCCTCATGATATATGGTGAGAATCAAGATGTTTCTCAATATACAGTGGTTAATGGAAAATCTGTAATTTAATTTTGTCGCTCACAATAATAATCGAAGGTTCAACTGATTAGGTTCTTCACGATATTCGTTTTTCCTTTTGAAAAAGTTGTGTCTTGTATTCTATTAATAAATATTTTTATCTAAAACACAAGATAATAATATGAGATTTCCATCCTATGTTTAAGATTGAAGCTTTCTATTCTAATTAGATTCTCAGTACTGTATCATAAAGTGCATAAAAAAAATCACATAGATTTGGATATATGACTTCGCGTGAACGAAAGCTGAACTGATCAGTTTGCAGATATACTTCATGGGTGTCATAGATCTTATCTCCACACTAGCTCTGTATATAGGTGGAACTAAGATCATTGTATAAAATGGAATAAACTATGAAGCCGACCTCATATATACATGGCTGAAAATGACAAATATTCCAATTACATTTGTGTAGACGGATATTTCTCTAAACGAGACAAAACAAGACATTATAATATATACTAATCAATATTATGAGGGGTAAATAGATTCCAAAATTTTAGTATTGAGTAGGAGTGATAGAGTTCTTGTTCCTGTGCGTTCCTTTTTTAAAGAAGCATGGCACAAAATGAGTTGATACTAACGGAAATAAAAAATATACGCAGGTCGCTCCAGATAGTCATTATAGTTATGAAGACCAGTTTTCAAGTGAATTTCTGAATTCAGGATTCAGGAGAGCGAACCCCGGAAACTGACACTCATAACGTGTAGCTTCTGAATGATAAACAAATGCTAATGGAATCCTGACACTTTACATAAATAATTTTGAAACAATTGAAAGTGCAAATCATTGACGAGTTGTATTATTGTACAATGTTCCCTATGAGGGACGTGCTCTATAAGAAATCTTACTTAAATTGGATCGTGCCACACTCGTCAATGCATCACGGTTCACAGAAACTGCTAAGAAGTAATAGTCAGCAATGTTCTAGTTTTGCGACGAAAATGACATTGAATTCAACGGTCCATCTGCATATATATATACATATATATTTAATTGATAGTCAACAATTTCCAACACGAAACCTTAGTTTCTTTCAACTAACGATGAAACTCGATGCGCATCAAATTGCACGATGAATGAGATAAAAAAGAACGACGCAAATGTTTCGCACATTAGCGTCCTTGATTAAACTTGATTTTTTCCCTAAATGATACGCCTCACTAATAAGAACTTCTCAGCGGGATTGTCCTTCAATTTTGACCCAATAGTCGACCGTCATTCTTGAATACATTGAGGCTTGGCCAAGTTGCCTGGAGTTTGGAGCTTATGGATACTACGCAATTCAACAAATATCAGCCATATAATGCTGCGGGTGCGGGGTTGGAAGAAAAACTAAAAATTCACACCCACACCCACACCCAACTATCGATGAAACTCGATGCGCATCAAAGTGCACGATGAATGAGATAAAAAAGAATGACGCAAATGTTTCGCACATTAGCGTCCTTGATTAAACTTGCTTTTTTCCCTAAATGATACGCCTCACTAATAAGAATTTCTCCACGGAATTGTCTTTCAATTTTGACTCAATAGTCGACCGTCATTCTTGAATACATTGAGGCTTGGCCAAGTTGCCTGGAGTTTGGAACTGATGGATACTATGGAATTCAACAAATATCAGCCATTTAATGCTGCGGGTGGGGGTTGGAAGAAACAGTAAAAGTCCACATCCACACCCACACCCTCAAGAATACGGAATCTAAAAGTTTTTTCATGAATGGTCAGTTCATTTGAAAACTAAATATTTCCAATGCGCACCTTATTCGATGAATCTGTCGTTCAGCTGATACCATAAAGGTCGGAAATCCTATGACGTAGAAGGCAATGCTAAGAACCCCCAATAATACATACCATTTTATTACATTTTTAATTCTTGAATGGGGCTCGGGGTATTTTCTGCTATATTAAATCTAGATATTCAATTACTGCATTTAAACACAGAAATGAATGTATAGCAAATCATCTTTACCCTTAATTTTCACAAGACCATTGAGATCTATTATGAGGTCCCATCTGTTCAATATGTTGCAATTTGCCATAGTTAACAAGAGCGTCTGTAACATTCTGATAAACGAGTAGTAGTAAAAAAAGGCAGGCACCGCTTGCCAAACAAACAAGGCTGCTGATGAGTATTAAACATTTGTTCAAAACATCAGCAAATTTGTAATTATTACACATAATGGATTGGCATTAGTATTTGATGATAATAACATCAATATTAACTGTGCATACTCACGATGGCTAGAATCCAACGATTCTCGATAATTGGCGATGTAATACGTTTGAATGATTTTGACACTTCTTTTGTAGGTTGCTTACTTTCGTCCTGACTAGCTTTCACACCAATCAACACAGGTTCAATAATTGGCATGCTTGTTCTCTTGTTTCTCATGATTCACAGAGTTAATCTACAAGTAATATTCATCAACATCGAAAGTCGACTCATTAGACCCTAGACTGACAGTGCTGAGCAGGAGAAATGCATGAACAGGACAGAAAATCAGTTGTTTGTGCCAGAAGTTGGTAATAAAATTTTTGAAGAGATTACACTATAAAAGAAGTTTTTAGCGCAATCCCTGTTGGGTTAAAATGTGAAACACGATGAAACTCCTTTTCCGGAACCCACCTACCATGGTGTGTGAATCTTTGCAGCTTTTCTGCCACTATCTGTAATGATATGTGGAGTAGTTTGGTCGTGGTCTGTGATGGTCTATGGAGCTTCTCTGTCACTCTCTGTATATTAAGCATGGGGTCTCTGGAGACCATCACAGACTATGACAGAGACTTCAGAAATCATCACAGACTATGACAGAGACTTCAGAAATCATCACAGATCGTGACAGAAATGAATTAATTAATTAATTAATCAACCAATTAATTAACAAGCAAGCTCATGTATTTATTTTTTATCACGGTGTGTGTGTATGGGGGGGGGGGGGGGGGGGG